GAGGCTGTAAATCTTTACGGGAGCAAAAAACGCCTCATCTTTCTCCCGCGGAGCAGCTGGTAGTTTTGAACTGCTGACCTTGCGGTTCGCAGCCCGAAGCATAACTACTATGCTACCAGAGCTCCTTCTGGCTTGCCTCTAGGGCTGCAGAAATCAGTCTGGGGCAGATTCCAGTCCACTAGAAGTGGCCACTGGCTGAAGTAGAGTATTTGAAACACCACTTCCTCGTTTATGGAGATGAGCAGTGATCAGTTCCAGTAGAGTATTATTGGAAGAGGGAAGGACAATTTGGGCAAAAGAAAGCCCAACCCATTCTGACACAGTACTGGAAGCCCTCACCAACCTGGGTGGGTTCCCTTTGTATTCCGTCAGCTCTGGTTTCCAGAAAGGGCACCAGCATTGAAGAAGGATCACCGTGTCAGTTACACTGAGATTTCCAAAACACATTCTTTAGCAGTTCTTCGCAGGGGGAGTTTTATTTTCTTTAGTTTATACGTTTACTACTTCTCAAATGGCAAGAATATTTTCTGGAGTTTATCAGGTGTTTGATAGCCCAGCAATAATTTGCTATAGACCTGGTCTGGCCCTATAGGATAAGCACTGGACCGCAAAGTCTATCTGAACTGCAAGGTCAGCAGTTCAAACCCACCAGCCACTCCTCAGAAACCTTATACATGGTCGCTATGAGTCAGAACCAACTCCACCACACTTTTTAACATGTCTCATGAATCAGAATCTACTCTATGGAAGTGGGGTTTGCTTTACTGGGTGCTAATTTATGTTTTGATGTATATTTATTAAGATGCATGCATTTAAAATATTCTCAAACTGGTTTGCGTGATTTCATTTCATCTTTGTTCGGCATTAAACATCGCCCGCTTGCTTATTCTTTTCTAGTTGTAATTCAAACACATGCCACAAGGGTGGATAAAATACCATGTTCCTTTGTTGTTGTTGTTATTGTCAGGTGCCATGGAGTCGGTACCAACTCATAGTGACCCT